TCAAGAGCCACTCAGGGGCTAGTAGGAATGATAGGCGCACGGGCAGGTCTTTGCAGTATAAAGCTGTTATCTGATGACAGAAATCTGTGCTGAACCCAATGGGAGCAGATCCTTTCAACCTTTGCAATCAGAGAATCCTTCCAAGAGGAGATACATCCAGTCTGAGCATCAAGGACCTGAAAAGCTTACCTGATGAAGGAGTCCATGAGTCAGGGATTAAGCTTCAGAAGGGGGGGGGATAAACTTCAGAAGAGGATAGGATTCCAGAAGTCAGGGACAAAATGAGCTAAGACCCGGGTGGGGGCAGGGGGGGAATGAAGAGCATGTCTTCCCTGTCTTGAGCTCTTCTTCTGCCTCACTCTCCTTAAAGCTGAGAGAGAAAATATAATCTGATTTCAAAATTGCTTCTGCTCCAGAGTCCCCTCTAATGGACCAAGCAGAAGACAGGAAAAGGAAAACACAGATTTCAAAACAGAGGCCTTCCTTAAATGGCTCTCCTTTTACAGGCAATACAGAAACCCTCAAAGATGCCCAGAATGGTGTCAGTAGTTAATAGACAAGCCCTGGCATGAAAAATAACTCAGAATTGCCCAGAATGTTAGGACTGATTCTGAAATCAGGATGTGACCTTTTTGGAGTTGTTTAATCTCCCTTATTAGATGACTCTTGAAGATTTCCTAAGTATTATATTTCCTGAAGATAAAGCGGGTCTCCTAAGATCTTTGAGGAACTTTAGAAGAAGATTCAGGTATTCTAGCTCCAGAGTCAGAGTGAGCTGTGTTCGAATCCTAGCTTGCTACTCATCAGGTATGTAATCTTAGAAAAAAAATACCTAACCATGCAAGCCTCAGATGAGGAGAATAAGAACACCTATCTCTCAGGTGTGAAGATGCATATAAAGAATTTAGCATAGGGGCACCTGGGTGGCTCGGTTGAGTGGCTGACTTTTGCTTTTGGCTCAGGTTATGATCTTGCAGTTGTGGGATCAGACCCCTTGTTGGGCTCTATACTCAATGCAGAGTCTACTTCGGATTTCTCTCCCTCTCCCTCCAGCTCACACACTCTCTCTCTCTCACTCTCTCTCATGTGCATACAAAAATAAATTAAATGTACCAATTAAAAAAAATAATAATTTAGTATAGCTACTGACATTATTATTGACTTTAATATTGGCATTAGTGTTAGGATTAGTATTTCTCTTAATAATAACATTTGTTTTAATATTGATTTTAGTCTATCTAGTACAAACCAAAAATATGATTTATGGTCCAGCCAAAGTTGAATCCAAGCAGATTCTATGCCCTATTAGGGTGATTCCTTTTGAGGCTTGCTTTTGAGTTAAATATGGCACTTGTCAGCAGATACTGTAACCCTTTGCTTCATCATCTCTTGCAGGACACTGGAAGAAAATCAATTTTAAAAAGAGGGGGACTATGTGGCTGGCACTAGAAAGGGCATCAGTTAGCTCCCTTGGGTGTTCCCTCTTGTCTACAGTAAATAGCAGTCTGCCTTTCAGCCTTGTGTCTTGCCACACTGTACCTCACATCCCAGTTTCCACCCAAATTTTACATCAGGCTCACCAGATGTAAAATGGGGATTGGTGTGTGCATGACTTGTGGGAGGCGGTTCCAGAAGGAAACCGTGAAAGATGTGAGGAAGCACCAAGAAGTTCTGCAAGAATGTAGGTCCAGGTGCAGACAAGCTTCAACCCCAATCCCATCAGATGCTTTGGAGTGTATTTGGCCCCACAGGATTTGTTTCACTTGAGGTATAGAAGTTGGGGATTCCACTATAATTCCCAGGCCCATCTACGTGAGGACGCTTCAGTCACCCAAGTGTGATCATTCTGAGAAGTATGCAGATGTGGGCTTTGAATGTAGAGAAGGGATTTCCATGAATTTGGGGGAATGGGTGCAGTAGAATCTACTACGATCCATTTCAGGATTTCACTGTTCCCCCAAAACATCATCCTCTCTTATCACTTATGTCCTTTATACATGTTAGTGCCTTTGCTTAGAATATCTCTTCCTCCTTTCTGTTATCATTCTAGATCCTATTGCCAACTGGGAAGGCTTAGATGGAGTTAGGGATGACCTATTTCTGTTCCCACAGAACTCAGTTTATACTTGTCGTTAGGACTGTGTATTGTGGCTTAGCCACACATGTTGGGACTCATTTAATAATTCATGGCTTTCTCAAGGTCGAAAACTGTTTCTTATTCAATTTATATTCTTAGAAAATCTTACTGAAAGAAATTATAAGGCAGAGAGATAGAGAATACTTAAGAATACGATGTCCTCTAAGATTGTGTCAAGCAAGTGATGCAGTTGCCTTTTTTTACTTAAACCTGATTTCAAAACATTTTGCAATGAAGGAGCTTGCATCCTGCAGCCAAAATAACTTTGTAGCTTAAGCAAATGATCCCCATTTCATCCATTTGTTTGTCCTATAACTTTATTCAACAAATACGTACTAAGTATATGTGCCAGACACTTGCCTAAGGACTGGAGATAAGAGGATAAACAAGACTCAACTGTCCAGTACTCGCAGAATCTTATAGTCAGTGTGAACAACGCACACACACACACACACACACACAAGTACACAGGCACATAACATGATAAAAATTGCAGGGAACTATGGGAACACCCACAAAATCTCCGACTTACAGTTCACAAAATGGTCCCAGAAAAGATAAAGGCCAAGTTGAAGCCTAAAGGATCAATGAATGTTAAAATGAACAGTTTGTAACTAATCAAATATTAATTGAGCATAAAGATTGGTTTTATAGCCTAATTTAAGGCCCTATCAGTCTTAAAAATGTGTCTTACATTTATGCAAATAATTTAAAATAAGTTACTTGTGACACCACATAAGGTCAACTGAGTTTATTATTTGTGTCTTGATAGTTATTTGTCCAAATAGTTCAGTAAAATGTGTATTTTAATGGATGGAATCTTTCTCTAAGCCAGCTAAATCTCACTAGAAGAATCCTGGAGGAGCCACATAATCCTTTTAACTTTGCAAGATTTTGCTTTTGGCATTCTTGGATCTTTATCAGAACAAAAGCATTTCCTAACTGTTATAAGTAACATGATCATGGTTTTACACATGTGAAATATTAAAATGCTTAATAAATTCCTCAAAAAAACCCCAAAATGTAATAACCACATAATCCAGCAATTCTAATTCTGGGTATTTATGTCAAAGAATTGAAAGCAGGGTTTTAAAGAGACACTTGTATGCCTCTGTTCAGAACAGCATTATTCATGATAGCCAAGAGGTTAGAAGAAACCAAACCACCCATCTACAGATGAATGAATGAACAAAATGTGATGTGTACATACAATGGAATATTATTCAGCCTTGAAAAAGGAAAGAAATCATGTCACATGCTATAGCATGGATGAACCTTAAGGACATGATGTGAAATAAAATAAGCCAGTAATAAAAAAATAAATACTGTATGATTCCACTGATATAAGGTATCTAAAGTAATAAAATTGATAGAAATAGAAAGTAGAATGGGTAGGGTGGTGGTTGCCAGCGGCTGGAGGATGGAAAAATTGGGCATTGCTGTTTAATGGCTATAGAGTTTCAGATTTGCAAGATGAAAAAGATCTGGAGATTGGTTACACATTAATATGAATATACTTCATATTACTTAACAGTTAAACATGATTATGATGGAAATTTTTATGTGTATTTTACCAGAATTTTTAAAAATATATATTTTTTAAAAACCTGAAAGTAATGATATGTTTATATTCATTCCACAATCCTGAGGTAGGAGTAGTGAAATAAGAGAGTTCAGAAGTAATGGGGGCTCTGCTCAGGTAGTGGTGTTGAGGGGTACCTTATAGTACAAGGAAGCTTAAGTTCTGTCCTGAGGGCGGTGGGGGCTGCTGAATGGGTTTAAAGAGAAGAACTTACCAATTTGTGATTTCAGAAGGCCGTGCAGTGCGGTGTAGAGGAAATCTCTACACTGGGAAAGAGCAATCTCAGTGGCAGTCTGTACAGCCCAGGGGTTCCCCGGACGAGAGCTGATGTGAACCTGAATTTGGGCAGTGGTGGTAATGGGGGATGAGGATGAAGTAGACTCAATAATTATTTAAGTATAAATTAGGCAGACTCAGTGAATTATTAAATTGGCAGATGGGAGAGTGAAAGATAGGATGGAGTCTGGCTGGCTCCTACTCTTCTGGCTCAGTTGGCTACATAGACGATAGTATTTATGTGGTTTGGAGGCTTACCTGGAATTCCTGAAGCGGGGCAGTTGTTCCGGCAGTTGTTCCTGCAATTGTTTGAATGCCTGGGAACTCTTTTCAGTTACTAAAATAGGCAGACCCTTGGCCTTGATTTTTGAAGTTCTTTAGAAGGAAGCTCCATCTCCGGAAATTGTGATTCTTTGTCCCAGAATCTGATTAACCCAAATCAGTACTCCTTCTCTTTGAGTATGAGAGGAACAGAAGATTGTCTTCCTTTTGAGGCCAACAAAAATAATGTGGGTGGCAGAAATTGTTCTTCATTTCCAAGGGAACTTTAGTCTTTCACAAATTCTGAAACAAAATTACATTTCCTGAATGGAAGGTATTAGAAGTCTGTTTCATTGCTCAATACATTTTTTTTTTTCCTTCTCCATTCCTGACCTAGACATTTTAGCACACGCTTAGGTACTCTGGTCATTATGAGGAAGGCTTCAGTAAATCATCTCAGTCTCATTTGTTTTCACCTTCCTGTACCTTAAAACAGAGATAGTATATTATCTGGTAAAAACAAGTCATCAACGTCGGTCAGTGCTGAGGCTTGTTCAGTGTTCAGTAACGAGGTTGCTTATGGTGACCACCAGAAGAATCTGCAGCAAAGCCTTGTATTTATTATCTGTTTGGTCAACAGTAGGTATGCACTGGGTCCTGTAAGTGAAGTTGGAATATGAAGTTCTCAACTCTACCCTTTGCAACACTAATGCTTCTGCTGTTTTTTCTTGTCTTTTCTCCTAGAAGTATCGATACCAAGATGAGGACGCTCCACACGATCATTCCTTACCTCGACTAACCCATGAAGTAAGAGGACCGGAGCTGGTGCATGTATCAGAAAAGAACCTGTCTCAAATAGAAAATGTCCATGGATACGTCTTGCAGTCTCACATCTCTCCTCTGAAGGTCAGTTCGATCGTTCTCAGAGCTGGCGGCAGTGGTTGGTCTGCAATGCTAAGGGAGATGTCTGTTGACCCGATTAAAGGAGTCTCTGTGAAAGCACTGTAGTGGCCCATGGTTGCCCAAGGGTCTTTCTGTGGTTTGGAGGCTTACCTAGAATTCCTAATGGGCAGTTGTTCTTGCAGTTGCTTGAATGTCTGGGAACTCTTTTTTAGTTGCTAAGAATGGGCTAAGGAAAGAGCAAGGGACAAAAATTGAAAGGGAAAATAAGGTAAACACATACTTAGAAAACGCAGGAGATTTTGTTCAAATGCCACCTCTCTACCCCATACCCAGTCCCAGGTAAAACAAAGTAAGTAAGTATAACATGTTAGCACCTAATGTTCACCTTATCATGTAGACTAATAAAAAAACTGTGTGAGTTGGCCATCAACATCTCAGTTTTATATTATATTTCTTTCTATTTGGTGTCATACTTTTCTGACACTTTCTACCTTTTTTCTTTAATTTTTAAACAGTGTCTTGATAAATGATATTTTTGCAAAAGACAATTAAATGAAAGGATTTTCTGTGCTCTTTGGTTGCAAATTACTCTTTTCTTTGATGTTGCTATGGGATTTTGTGCTTTTAATAAAAGCTCATAAATGTCAATTAGAATTAAAAAAAGAAAAGCAGAACTAGAGTCAATGATATAATAGAAGTGAATGCAAATGAAAAACAAAACAAGACAAAACAAACTAACAAACAAAAAAACCCCTACTAAAATAATTCTTTAGCGCTAAAGAAAATGTTTATTTTGTTAGCCAAAATATTCACTCATCACTACTTCCATATAGCTGTGTCAAACAAACAAAAAAACAAAAAACCAAAAAAAAGCCCTACTAAAATAATTCTTTAGCGCTAAAGAAAATTCACTGTTTATTTTGTTAGCCAGAATATTCACTCATCACTACTTCCATATAGCTGTGTCACAATAAAAAACAAAGCCATAAATGTGGCCCCAGTGCCTTCTAGAATCTTATTATACCTTCTAAGACATCAGAGAGGCTAAATTATGTTCTAATATAGTTTTGAAATTTGGCACATTTTAAGTACCCTGGCATCCTAAAAATGTATTATCAAATAAGCTAGCTTCATTTACCACCAATTAATTAAAATATTAGGTTAATTGTCAAATTCCAGTAAATATGTTGTAATATGTAAGAATATACAAACATTGTACCACTGGAATTCATTGTTCAGTTCTTCCCAGAGTCTTTTTAGAAATCATTGAATGACTGATGGAAATAGGTATGTTTAGCCTGGGGAAGAAAAGATTAAAGGTTGAAGGGCAAGGGATTTCCTTCTTATACCACAGGAGCTGTCATGTGGAAAATATTGGTGTCACCCAGAGGGCAGAAACAGAGCCAGTGTGCATAACTAACAGGGAGGTGTATCTGGAATCATTGTAAGACCACAACTCCTGTCAGTTTGAGCTATCCCAGACAGGTGTAGACTAGTGCAGGAAGCAGTGGTTGCCTGTCCCTAGGAATCTTCCAGGTCTGGCTGACAACCTGGTAGTGATATTGCCGAAGGGACTGCTTCAGCAGGAGGCTACCCAAAATTGTTTCTAAGGTACAGTCTGACTCTAGGACTCAATGATTCTAGTCTGGGGTCAGATGAATACATTCCTTCTTTAGACAAATATTCATGTTTACAGACAAATGCTCATCCTTACTCTGTGTGCTGACCAGTAGAAATTGAGAAGGGACAAGGGTGGGAGCCTGCATTTCATTAAGAGTATTTAAATCTCAGCTTTTTTCTATTTCTTTTCTCTTCCTTCCTTTTTTTTTTCCTTTTGTTTCTTTTCTCTTTTCTTTCTTACAAGAAATCTTTGTAAGAACCTTCACAGAAACTCCCTTCTTTTCTCCCTACTTGTCCTTCTCCCTTTCCTGGCACATTTTAATTAGCTCTAGAGCAGAGCTCCCAAGTGATGGGTAGGTTCATCAGGGTTCGTCTAAAGCTAAACTGGTTATAGTAAGTAAACAAACAAATAAAATAAATAAAACAATAAAAGCGTAATAGAATGTTCATTTTGTATGTTAAGTCTTAAGCATAAAATTGTCAAAATATCTACAGTTTGGGTGGTTACACATGTGTTATGCTACTTACTGCCTCATTTGGAAAATGCCTATTAGAGTTAAATGAAAAGTTTGCTTTTTCTGAAGCTCGCATCTCAAAGGAATCTTTCTCATTTCCCTTTATCCCTTGCCTTCCAGGAGTATCAAAATTAAGCATCTTCAATTGTGGTGATTTTCCTTAGCATAGGCTTTCTGTTTCTGTTTCGCCCTGCTGTCTTATTTCTTATTCTCTTTTTGTAAAGATGATTTATTGGTTCTTGTGGTTATACTGTAGTAGTATCTTCTACTGACGGCACCCCATATTGGTTTAAAAGAGGTCATCGATGAGTGATAAACCTCTGATAGGAAACCTCCATGTAGGAATATGTTTCCATCCTTTTTGGAATCACCAGTGTATGGTATGTCCCCCAAGGTACTGTGAAGAGGAGGGAAAAATAAGTCCGTCTGGGACTTCTGTGCCTAGACTGTGAAATAGCAATTTCGGGGCCAGGACTTTCTCCCCATGACATTTTAGAGGTGTTGTTGCTGAACAAGATGTGCTTTTAGATCGTCTTAATGAACAAACTGTGTACCTTTCTTGGGTCAACAATAGTGATAGGGGTAAACAGGTGCAATTTTTCCAGAAACACACACACACACACACACACTGATAGAGTTTGCCAGTTTCATGGTGTAAATACTCCCACCATGGCTGAGTTTAGGCTAGCAACCTGAAGCCTCTGACTGCATTCGGAAAAAAGAAGAGAGTGAGGCTTCTTAAATAAGCCAACATGAGCTGGCTCCAACACAGGCAGGCTCAAGCACATGCATTTTTGTAGCAATAGGACACATTTCCTAATCAAGTTGTTAAGGGATTATTATATTATCACAGTTCAAGTGTTCGGAAAACCTGCCATGATTAAAATCTAATGTGTTATTTTCTCATAAAGGAAACCTATTAGAGTCAGAGAAATGCTAAGAAGGTACAAATTCTCAATTAGACCTGGCTTATTTTCAACTTCTTTGCTCCTTTGATCTTTCTGGTCCTCTTGGGTCAAGCATTAAAAGAGGGAAGAGTGAAGAGGCAAAACCCACAATCAGATAATGCCCCTGAATCTTACTTTGGAGTCAATGCAGCTCTCTAGTATTAATTAGAAATTTACATATGGCATGCCTGAATAGAGTGTGAGATTGCTGGATAACAGTTGAAATGCTGCACCGAGCAGGCTCTGAATCATTAGCAGAGCAATCTTACCATTGCAGGTTTGTCAATCGTTTCTTCCATCATCGCTTATCACTGGAAGCCTCGGTTCTAAGAATCATCTGCCTTTGGTGCACACCCGCTGCTTGGCTGATAGATGGGCTCGCTTAGCCTGCTTTCATTAGAATGCCTTGGCCATTGTGAAATATGGGTTTAGAAGGAGAAATGCAATTTTGCAGTGAATTTAACAGAATTTGTTTTCTTTGCCTCAAGATGGGGATGCTTTCTCTTCAGATGCTACCTAGAATCTTCCACAAAAGAAGCTGGCTTATAATAAAACATGAGAATTTTCTTTTCCATTTAAGTCAATTCCATAATATTAATTGGGTCTCTACTATGCATATCATAATAGGCAATGGGGAAACCAAGGGCAGTAAAACGTGATTTTTTTTTTTTAATTTTTTATTTGACAGATCACAAGTAGGCAGAGAGGCAGGCAGAGAGAGACAGGAGGAGGAGGCAGGCTCCCTGCTGAGCAGAGAGCCCGATGCGGGACTCGATCCCAGGACCCTGAGATCATGACCTGAGCCGAAGGCAGAGGCTTTAACCACTGAGCCACCCAGGCGCCCCTAAAACGTGATTTTACATATACTTATCACTTTCTTAAAAGATCTCAGGTCTAATTATTTATTACTTACTCTCACTCCGCAACAGAAATTCACATTCCAGAAGCTTATATACCATGAGACCTCAGACATTGTGGAGAGTACTCTTTACAGAGTATCTGTTGAGAGAGAGAGAGAGCAGGAGAGGGGATGAGGGAGGAGGAAAAGTCAGGCTTATTTTTAAGAACCTGGACTTTAGAATACCTGGATTTCAATCCTGGCCCTTTCATTCGGTAGCTATGTGACCTCGATCAAGTTAACCTCTCTTAGGCTCCTCTTTAGTAAAATGGAAGAAGCAATAGTATTTATCTCATGGGATTTGTGTACTAATCAAATAAAGTAATATATGTAAACTGCTTAGAAAAAGTTTGGCACACAGTAACCACTCACCAAATGTTGTTTTTGATCATATTATTATTATTATTAGCCAGCTATCATGACAAATACTTTAAAATCGCTTCATTTATCTCATTTTATCTCTAGAAGATTATGCACGATTTTAAAGTTAAATAGTTTCCTGCAATCCAAGAACCAGTAAATCGGAGTGCAAGTAATTGTAACTCAACCCAGGTCTCTCTGGATCCAAAGCCTGTGTTCTTTTTTTTTTTTTTTTAAGATTTTATTTATTTATTTGATAGAGCGCGAGAGAGAGCACAAGTAGGCAGACCGGAAGGCAGAAGGCAAAGGGCAAAGCAGACTTCCTGCTGAGCCAAGAGCCCAGTGTGGGTCTTGATCCCAGAACCCTGGGATCATGATCTGAGCCAAAGGCAGTCACTTAACCAACTGAGCCACCCAGGTGCCCTGAAAGACTGAATTCTTTATCACTCCTGTGCTACATCACCTTTCTCTAAACTGTTCTATTTTTAAAGAGATCTCAGATTCAAATTTTCACTTACCAGGTCCATGTATGTAAAAGGAGAAGGTCCTTTATTTCATATGGCCTTATCCTTGAAAACAATTATTAAGCAGATATATAAGGGAATGTCTAAGAAATACAGTTTTCTAAGTGAGAGCCAACAAGAGTGGTGATAGACGGGAACT